AGCAACACGGAGAAGGGCAGTGTGGTGATGTTCGGCGGGGTGGACCACTCCTACTACAAGGGGGAGCTGAAGTGGGTGCCGGTGACCAGGCAGGGCTACTGGCAGATAACTGTGGACAGGTAAGCGCCTCCCTCTGAGGGCCACACCGATGACATCCCCAGGCCTGCACGCGCACAGGCACAGACGCACACACAGACACAGTCACACAGACTCGGACGGACACAGAGACACAGCCAGACACGCACAGACACGTACCCCAACATGGGTTCATAATCACCCCAGACCAGGCTTCCGACCAGAGAAGCTGGATTGGGCCTGAGTCAGGGACAGGCCTGGGGACCGAACTGTCAGGGAAGAGACTCAGGCTGCACCCATCGTGCCGTGGGGTGAGCTGCAATGAAAAGGGTCGAGGAGAACCCCACCAGCCTGCACAGGGCCCTGGCAAGGTGATTAGCCATCCCAGGCCACCAGAACAGGGGGTCCCAGTCCACGGACCGCCAGTTTGGAAGCAGGGGAAGCCCCGGGCAAACAGGAAGGCTGGTGAAGGAAGGGAGTGAATGAGGGCCCCCTGGAGACGTGTAGGGAGCCTCTACCCAGCGCGGAGAGATGCCGGCTTTCTGGAGACCTGAAAGCAAATCACAGAAAGGGATACCCCACCCCAGCCCCATCCTGGGTACCAGAGGGGAAGGGGATGTGACAGAGAGAATCAGGAAGCCGGGCGTTCAGGAGTGGCCTGAGAGCAAGGGGGCAATAATTGATGGGATTCTGTGTCACAGCATCAGACAGAAGTATAAAATGTGCCCCCTGGGCTGCTCAGACATTGCCTGGCCAGTGGCCTCGGTGTCCGGGAAGTGGGGCATGGGGGGGGTGGGACAACACATAACTCCCTTCCCACCACTTTGAGCATCTGCTTCCCAGGAGCACGTCCATCTTCGCTGTGTGGCTTTTCTAACTGGTCAGATACCAGCTCCATGTCTCCGGTTGGTCTCCTTCATTCACTTGTTCATCAATTCAGCAAACACATGTTGAGCATTCTCTGTGTGCTGCGCACTGGAAGGGGCACCAAGGATACAACTAGCTCTTACAGATACAACTTGCTCTCCCCATGTAGTAGGGCAGACATACATGAGAGATCAAGTCACATGGATCAGGAATTACCACTTTGATACATGCTAGAAATCAGTACGGGTATGCAGAGGGTGACCAGGAGAGGAACCTGATCTAGCCTGGGGGCAAGACTTCCCCGAAACGGTAACAATTAAGCTGGAACCTGGAGGACAGGAGAAATTAGCCAGACAAAGGAGATAGGGGCGGTTCTAAGAAGGGCCACCAGCAAGTGCAAAGGCCCTGAGGCATGAAAGAGTGCAATGTATTCAAGGACTGAAAGGGAGTCTCAGAAGGTCAGTGTGACCAGAATAAACGGAAACAGAGGAAGGCAAGAGCTGACGGACTCTTCTGGAGATAGCCAGGGAGGGGCCAGTCATGGGGGAGGGGACTACAGAGTGATCCTGGTGCCTTTGTCCCCCTGTCTTTCAGCATCTCCATGAACGGGAAGGTTGTTGCTTGTCATGGCAGCTGCCAGGCCATTGTCGATACCGGGACCTCACTGCTGATTGGCCCAAATTACCCTGTCTTCAACATCCTGAAGACCATCAACGCCCAGGCCACCAGCACTGGCGAGGTGAAGGGTCCTGCCACAGGGTCACCCTGAGCTCTCCACACATGGAAGGATCAGCTGGGCCAACCTTCTCTCTCCCTCTGTCTCTGNCTGGCGAGGTGAAGGGTCCTGCCACAGGGTCACCCTGAGCTCTCCACACACGGAAGGATCAGCTGGGCCAACCTTCTCTCTCCCTCTGTCTCTAATAGTACATCGTCAGCTGCAATGCCATCAGCGCTCTGCCTGACATCATCTTCACCATCAACGGTGTCGCGTACCCAGTGCCAGCCAGCGCCTACATCCGGAAGGTGAGGGGCCAACCCTGGGGGCTGGTTCTCAAATATGGGACTGGCGTGACCCATTGGGCTGTGGCTGGAAGAGGCCCTTTGGAGGCCAAACCATTGCAGATGCTGCCGAGCACCCCTGGCTAGGAAGTACCTTCCACAGAACAAACCTCTGGATAGCAAAGGGCAGTCTGGGGCATCCACCAGCCTCAACTAAATCTGGATCGACCACCCCCTGCTGGCACGGTGCTAGGCTCGAGGAGAGGGGACGCTAATGGCCTCTGCCCTCAAAGAGCTTCAGTTCATCCAGGGAACTCAGATGGGTGAACATGGATAGTAGGCTGCAGCGGTCCCAGAAATAGGCAAAGAAATAGGGACAGGCGGGGTTGGCTGGGGACAGCCCCAGTGTGTGGTCCCACCATAAGTATTAACTGTATAACCTTCCCATCTCAAAAGTGTCCTGATTGGGATGACAAATCATATGATCACCCTGGTCCTAGGTAGAAAAGGCCCCTTGCTAAGCCCCAATTCCCTCTGTGAAATGGGGTACCGAGTCCTTCCTTTGCCGGGGTGGTGAGACACTGACATGAATGAAGGACGCACAGTGGCCGTGCAGTGCCTGGAACATAGCAGAGGCTTAATAAACGCCGGTTCCCCGTGGGAGTTCAGAGGAGGCTTGAGTGGAATCAAACAGGCCTTGAGGAAGAGAGGAATTGAAATAATTCTAAGCCCCCAGGCTCCTGGGTCAAGGCAGGTCTACACTAGACTCATGCAAATGGCCCCCCAGGGAGCTGTGCAAAGGGGCGCCGGGGTAGGTCCCGTGTCACCAGGGCTAAAGACACAGGGAGCTCCAGGGATCGCCCCACCCAGCCTGGAGTGGCCAAGGAGGGTGACACGGGCCCAGGGAGGCTGCCCAGGGGTGGCGGAGCGCCGCCTTGGAGAGCGAGGGGGGCGAAGGGACGGAGGAAAGGCGCCCTCTCAGAGGAGCAGCCGGAGCACAGTCCACAGAAAAGAGCAGCGTGTGAGGGGCACGGCTGGGCACCCCGCTTCCGCCGGCTCCTAGGAACTGGGGGGAATGAAGCTGAGAGCTGCGGGCTCTAGGTATGGAGGGGGTGGCAGGCGAGGGCTCAGGCTGATGGCCTGTTTCCCTCTCCCCCAGGACTGGCCAGACATCTGCTACAGCAACTTTGACAACAGCTCAGGCAGCGGCAGTCTCTGGGTGCTGGGTGACGTCTTCCTGAGGCTGTATTTCACCGTTTTCGATCGGGCAAACGACAGGATTGGCTTGGCTCCGGCAGTGGCATAAACCTCGGCATAAACTGCTCCAGGAAGCCACCAAGCCCACCCCAAAGACACTAGCACACGCACTCGGGGCATGCCCGCCCAGGGTTGCCGGCTAGAACTGTGGCTGGTGCTCTGCAAAGCCCTGTTCTCAGTGGGGAATACAGGACCTCATTTTTGCCCGGCCGGTGTGGCTCAGTGGTTGAGCCCCGTCGACCCGTGCACCAAGAGGTCACGGACTGGGGGCACATGCCTGGGCTGCAGGCTCGATCCCCAGCAGGGGGCGTGCAGGAGGCAGCCAACTGATGCTTCTCACTCATGGAAGTTTCTATCTCTCACCCTCTCACTTCCCTCCCTCTAAAAACATCAATAAAAATATTTTTAAAATTTTTAAAAAATACCTCATTTTCAATGGTGCTGATAGGACCTCCTGCAAGGCAGATAACATTGCCCCCATTGTACAGATGAGGGACGTCTCCGATCTTCTGGGTGCCAGGCACATAGTAGGCCCTCAATAAATACAGGTGAACTAAATGAATGGACGAAGGAGTATGTGCCGCCACTAGAGCGCAATGCCGCACCTAAGGCAGGAGACACCCGGGTGGCAGCAGGGCTGACAGCCATCATATGCACCCTAAAAGGTCAGGCTTTACTCCTCTAAACAAGCTGTGACCGGGGCTCAAGCTGTGTCTGTTAACGAGCCAAGCTGTTCCCGGGGCTCTGTATTTGCAGCCTGTGCCACCAACATGAGGATCAGTTCTGATCTTCAAAGGAAACCCCCCCCGCCCTCCACTTTTATCCTTATGGATTGCAGAGCAAAGAGCCTTCTAGCCATTGGTGAGAAAAAACGTGAAGCAAAGGGGAAAAGATCCTTGTATACTTCTTGTAACAGCGTAAATCGGTGCGATCCTTTTGGAGGTGACCTGTCCTTAAATACGTGTGGCCTTTGTCCCAGCAATTGTGCCTCTAAGATTTATGCGAAGGCAATAATCAGAAATGCCTGCAGACGTGAAGCAAGGATGTCACCCGCAGAGTAGCTCACAAAAGGGAAAACCCGGGCCATCCCCGTGCCCGTTAAACATGGAGTGTCCCCAGCCCGCTGCAGGACGCGCAGGGCAAGCACGTCCCGAGGCCCCTCGGTCCAGCCCAAGTCCCGGCTCTGACGGGCCCGCACCCGTCACGCGACCTGGGGTAAATTCATCTCCCGGCGCCTGTTCTCTATTCTGTAATTTTGAGATACAGATAGTTTCTCCCTCATTAATCACCAGGGCAATGCAAAGCAAAACGACAGTGAGATGCCACTTCACGCCTGTTAGGATGACCACTGCCCAAAAAACAAAAGCCAACAGTGTTGGGGAGGGCGGGGACCCCTGGCACTGCCAGTGTGAACGTAAAATGGTGCGGCCACTGTAGAAAACAGTACGGAGATTCCTCAGAAAGTTAAAAATAGAATTTTTATAAGACCCCAGCAATCCCACTTCTGAATATTTACCCCAAAGAATTAACATCAGGATCCCAAAAAGATAGCTGCACCATCGTGTCCACTGCAGCATTATTCGTACAATGGAATATTACTCGGTCGTAAAAAAAGAAAATCCCGCCACTTGCAACAGCATGGATAAAACTCGAGGGCTTATGCTAAGTGAAATAAGCCAGCCACAGACAGACGGATACCGTATGATTCCGCATATATGAGGTAACTAAAGTAGTCAAACTCACACTAGCAGCAGGGAGTGGAATGGTGGTTGTCAGGGGTTAGGGGAAGCGGGGAATGGAGAATTGCTGTTCAACGGGTGTATTTAAGTCATGCAAGATGCAAGTTTCAGTTACGCAAGATGAGTAAGTTCCAGAAATCTGCTCCACTCCATGGTGTCTGTAGTTACGAATACTCGATTGTGCACTTAAAATTTTGTTAAGAGGATAGATCTCATGTTAAATGTTCTCACTACAATAAAAATAATTAATAATAGCCTGGCCAGGGGTGGCTCAGCGGTTGAGCGTCAACCTAGGATCCAGGCAATCAGGGTTCGATTCCTGGTCAGGGCACATGCCCGGGTTGCGGGCTCGATCAATGACTCTCTCATCATTGATGTTTCTGTCTCTCTCTCTCCCTCTCCTTTCCTCTCTCGGAAATCAATAAAGATATATTTTTAAAATAATAATAATAATAATTAATAATAAAAGAATAGTCTCTTCTAGTTGGGGGAAAGAGACGGGTTAGGAATGGGGGTTGACTGCTAATGTGGATGGCATTTCTTTTGGGGGTATCAAAAATGTTTTAAAATTAAACCATGGGGTGACTGTGCAACTCCGTGAATATACTAAAACATACTAAACCGCACACCTGAAATGGTAGAATTTATGATACGTGACCTATATCTCAATCAGGCTGTACAAACACTATATATAAAATAATAACAGGAAAAAATAGTCCCCACCTTCTCAGCCTGTCACACGATAGCGTGAGTTATTGCTAATTTCGCACATACAACAGAAAAAGACCAAAAGTATCCAGGAGGCAGCACTATGGGCAATTTTTCCTCTCATCTTATACTTTTATTTCCCCCCAGTGATGGCTTTTAAGATCAAGAAAGCACAAAGCATTATTCTCTGAAAGACAGAGGCTTCAGACAGAGAGAGGACCTTATCTGCGGGGGTATCTCCTGGAGCAAATCCATTCCCAGGGAAAAGGCCCCCCGAAAGCAGGTGGTGAAAGGCTGACATCTGGCGGTCAGAGTGAGTATTACGTGCACAGCCGCATGGTCTTACCCTGGCCGACCTGCCCGTTGGTTCCACTACTTGAAAGGCTATTCAACAACATGAAACCATAGCCACATCGACTCTCCCACCTCTACAGCTGCTAATGCCACTTGGAAATATAGATATATTTATAGATCTATATATATAGAGAGAGATTTAGCTATGAATTATTATCTGAGCTATAAATATTTTCCCAGGGAATCTATGCTAGTAAAAGTTGGAGACTACCCTCGTTTCTAGCATCAGGGAAATTATCACCAGGAAGGAATCTGTTCCTGGCTCTTAAAGTGATAAATGTGAACTATGTTAATTGAGGAAAGTGTAAAGATAGAGAATATATAAAATGGAATCACTTTAACCAAGCTACTAAAATTATTAACATCATAAAGTCTGAGGCATGAGAAAGATTCCATGCTTGTTCTAACTAGCCTGGGAACTTAAATTTTGTTGAACCTTCCAGTCCTGCGTCAATGCCTGGATACAAACGTGGACATATACCAGACCTACAGACTATCCTGATTATCCCTTGAAGGACTCGGGCATCCAGACCATCACCTGACATCATCACCGGCTGTGATCAGTCCTCCTGGCACCCATCTTCCCAACCATCTGGCATCTGGCATCCTGACTGCCTGACGTCTGACTGATCACTGTCCTGGACCAATCCTAGGGCTAAGAATATAGGACTGATAATTCTCAAGAATGTTCTTTGTATCATAAGAACTTTTAACTTTTCTTTTTCCTTTGGAACACTTTTGGGTTTTACCCTAGCTGTGTTCCAAGTTCGTAAACTCTAAGACCCTTGAAAAAATCTGAATCATTTATTTCTAGCAAAACCACCAGATTCTTTTTGAGTTTGGTCAACATCATATAAGGAAAAGTGCAGCCTGTGTGCACCTGAAAATAATCCATAGTAGTGTTGAAAACAAACTGTAATAGAAAAATAAAAATTTTTAAATGATAACAATAATAACTGCCTGGCATACAGCACTATTTTGTAGAAAGATAAAAAACTAAACAAACTGGTCAGGAAAAGTGCAGCCCAAATTGTAGGCCACAAACACACTCATTCCCTCCCTCCTTCAGATCTATACTCTAATGACCCCTCTACTGAAATATCAGTCCTCACCAACACTCCCTGTCCCCTTCCTCGCTTTCACTTCCCGCCAGCACTGTCATTTAACACAATATGTAATTTATTTCTTTATCCTGTGATTATCTGTCTCCTGCCCTGAGTATAAACTCAGGTGGGCAGCGATCTGGTCTGTCTTGTTCTTTGAATGACCAGTCCCCAGGGCCTAAATTAGGGCCTGAAACATAGCAGATACTCAGGAAGTATTTGGGGGATGAATGTTATGTGAAATCAATGTTAAGAAAACACCAATTCTGCAGAGGGAAGAGGTGTGGACATTGCCAGCTGCATCTGTTTGTATCCATTTGCTCAGGCCGCTGTAGCGAATACCACAGACTGGGGCTCAAACAACAGAAGTTTATCATCGCACAGTCTGAAGGCTGGAAACCTGAGATACAGGTGTCTCCAGGGCGTTTCTTCTGAGGCCTCTCCCCTTCTGAGGCTCCTCCCGATGCCTTCACACAGCCTTCCTCTATGTGTATCTGTGTCCTAATCTTTTCTCATAAGGACACCAGTCAGAATGGATTAGGGCCCACCCTGGTGACCTCTTTTAATCTCAATCATCTCTTTAAGGACCCTAACTTCAACTACAATCACATTCAGAGGTACTGTGGGTTAGGAGTTCAAAGTATGAATTTGGGGAGCACAATTCAACCCTTAAGACTGAGAGGGGAGCGGCTGGTGTTGCCGGTGCCCCAGCAGTGTGATTTCAGAGCCTCAAGCAAGCCCAGAGCCTCTACCTATCGAGCCTCAGAAGCGTTCCTGAGGGTCAGCTTGGGTGCTTAGCGCCCAACCATTTGCCCAACATCTACTCTGTGCCAGGTTCCAATCCCTGTAAAAAGGTGATTGCCCCTGGGAAGGGGGGGACACACTCCTGGGCTGATTTCAACTTCCAATTTAAATATTATTAAAACAGTTCAAATGTCTCCTTCTCCGTGATAGCCTCCCAGATGCCCCCTGGAAGTGAGCTCTTTTTTCCTAAACGGCCCACAGCACTTGGTCTCTTTCCATATCCTGCTCTAGTCCGGGTACTCAGGAATGCAGCCAAAGTGGGTGATGCAAGGCAGGGAGCAGTGACAATGCTTTCCGCGTGGATTTGCAGCCTCACTCCCCCGACCCCAGGCCAAGGCATG